AGGAAGGCAGGATTTCACCTCTCGAGCTCTGTGCCGTAACCTAATTACAAAATGTGAAATATAACAAACTTCTGACCTCAGCCTTTATAGCCTGATCATCATTACTTTCATCATTTTTTCCCTGATTGTTTTTCAAAGGAATTAAGTAAAAGCCACATCAAAGATGCTTTAAACCAGTCATGAAATACCAAATTCTAATTCCTGCAGCAAACATGACTAAACTGTTACACATAAATACATTAAAGTTAATCCCACCCAGTGATCTACAAGGTGCTATTTCTGCCAACGAAACAGTCGAGTCATATCTGTCCTCTGGGCATTAAACTGAAGTTCATCCATTTTGGTGCATTTACAATTTTGGTTTCTGAGCACTACTGTTAATACCTCCAGATGGGGAGGACATGAGGGGAATTACAGAAAGATAATGTCTAAATGATTGCAACTGTGACGTTGTATCTGAATTATCAGAATCTCCAAGCACAAGAAGCAGCAAGTGGGTTACAGAACACAAGATCCACACTAAAACTCTACAATTATTAAACAATTGAGCCTTACAACCCTAATCAACACACTGAGGAGCTGTGCTTACTAGTTACCATCCTCCTCTACTGACAACTGGTCTCAAAAGAGAAGGAGGAAGGTAAAAGACACTGAAAAGCATGGCAGACTCCAGAGGGGTCAAACCACATCGTGTCTCACCGACACATCCCTGGTCAGAACAAGTCTGCACAGAGTAGCATCAGGTTGCTTTTGCGTTCTTTAAGCTCCTGATAATGAGGAACTGGACAGCTCTTGCAAATCCTCTTCAGGGTTAAAATACAGCCATCTCATCATTGCCAACTTTCCAGATAGCCACTAGAGACTGGGCTAAAGCTGTCTAGTCCAGAGCACTAGGCTGTGTTGCCTTCAATGGCCTTCCCAGCTGTTTTCCCATCTGTGATCCTCCACAGAAGACATTACACTGACACCAGACTGACAAAATAGCTACTGCCTTACTTCTTTAAGAGGTGTGTATGATACATGTTCCTAGAGGGCCAGTGATACCACCCCTCCAGCATTGCCAGCACCCTAGACAGCTGAAGTTAAACTTTGCATAACTCCCCTGACACCCTTTATCAGGCCTCAGGGTTCCTCTAGAGCCTGGCAGACACTTTTGGTACTGTCCCTTACAGGACTTATCATGTGTGTGAGCGCTGCGCCAGGTCCTGCTGCAGGTGGTCGGGGGGCTGCTGCTGAGGCTGCCTAGCAACAGATGTTTCTGTATGCCTGTCAGGAGAGGGTCAGCAAGGCCAGAGATAAAACCAGCAGTGATTTTCCACTGCTTTGTCACTGGATAGGAACTCTATAAACCCTCTACGGTAATCAAAGTCAGTTTCTAAGAAAGGACTCTGCCCGAGAATTAACCAGTGTAAACTAGAGATTAGATCCAGCCTTTTGACAGCAAGGTAAACTTGCTGAAAAGCTTCCTAGCTTACAGCTGTGGTTAAAGCAAACCATCTTGCAGGATAAAAAAAGGGAAGATTTTTCCTTCTAAGAATCCGTTATGAAAGGGACTCTGGAGGAGAAAGAAACACTAGGAAAAGGACTGGAAAGGAAAATTCAAATCACAAATTCCATCAAATGTTTCTCCATAAATAAAGACTAAAGCTCTGTATAAGCTCAAGCATGTAAGTGAAACTTCACGCAATTGTACATGTGTAATGAGGAGATTATATTCATGGTAATTAGATAATCAAGTTCAAAGCCTCAGCAGCACAAGGGAAATGGCAAAAAGGTTTATTTTTAGATACTTGATACTGAAAATTTTTGGAGCCCAAATCAAATCTGCAATGCATAAGAGGCTCTGCTGCTTTGACCCACATAAATTCCTTTCCAGGCCTCTGCCAAACCACCTTCTCACACTGACAGACACAGAGGATTTCCTTTTCTCTCCAGCTGCTGTGTTTCCATTTACACTCTCCCCATCAGAAACAGCAGGATGGACAGCCACAGCTAGAAGCACTGTTGCTAAGGGTAAATTCTTTATTTTAAGACCATGCAGTCTCCTACATGCAATTTTGCCAAAAGGGCAGCTCACTAGTTGCTATAGCACCTACTTTGACTGAGATACAGGAGATGTTGCTGGCATAACCAGACTGTCTCAGGTTATCACTGAATATCGTTGCTAACAGTTGTGTTAAAAGAGAGATGAGATGAGATGAGATGAGATGAGATGAGATGAGATGAGATGAGATGAGCAGGGTCTCCCTGCTCTGTCACAAATCGCGACGCCCTTCCTTTCTCAAACTTTCTGCCTACAAAATGCACAACCCCATGGGGCCAACCTGCTCCACTACTGTGTCTCTGCTCTCTAATTCCTAAAGCCAGGCTTCTCCCTTCTTGTCTGCCTATTTCAGACAAGCAGCTGGGAGTTCTCCTGAGCAGATTGTTTGGTCCCCCTTAAACCCTTCAGCACAATATTCCCTGATTCCAAAGCAGTCCGCACAGAGAAGGAGGAATGGTGGCATTTCCACAGAGACAGTCTGCCACTGGATACACAGCATGCTCAAAATTTAAAGAGCTTTAACATTTATAGGAGGTAAAGGCTATGTGCCTTCAACTTCAAAATGGGCTGTTTAGTTATGAGAGAGTAATCTCAGAATTTAGACTTCTGAAAACTGTTGCAAAGCTAGCGCACAGCTCTCTGTTGTACATGGTCCTTCCAACTGTGATGATGCAAAGTGCTTCATAAGAAGACCAAAAGAGGTGCCACTCAGTGATACCTCTGTTGTTACTCACAAAAATAGGCTGAATGAGAATATGAGAAAGACAAAGCAAGACAGAAGAGGACAGGCTAAGAAACCCAAATCCTCACCCCTGTGACACTCCCAGCCCACTGGGCTGATGTCAGAGAGTTCCTGCAGCCCTTGTGAGTAAGCATTCATCTTGCCTCCTGCTGCAGACTGGTACCAGTCCAGTCACAATATGAAGGCACACCGGTGGTGTCAGCAAAAGAGGGAGGCCACGGCCCAGCTACAGTGGCTCTTCCCTTCCCTAAGCCAAATTTCCTGTCAGAAGCCAAATTTCCTGTCAGAAGCCAAATTTCTGGAAAGTTTTACAAGACCACCTCAGTCTTATAATCTCTTTAAGAGCTGCAGCACCTGTGGCTTTTGAAACATCCAAAGTAACAAGAGAATAGGCAGAAACAACGGAGTTTAGTAAGGTAGAAGTATAGCAGTCCCTGAACTATATCATTCTTGATATTAATTTAGAATTGATAAAACGCTTTGCTGACTTAGAAAATTCAGTTTTTATTTCTTCGTTCTGTTGAGGGTAGTAATCAAAGCTGTATGGATGGAGAACGTTCACAAAAAGCACACTTTGTCTTTCAAATTTTAGTTGCCGTTTGGCAGCTGTGGTCTGCCTTTCCAGCCCTCTGTAGTGTGAGAAAAAGGACTATAGAGTAGATACTATGGTCAGCTTTAGTCCAGTCTTTCTAGTAGTCACATTGCAAAGCTGGGTATGCACTTACATTTTCTGTTTGTCTATACCCCTACCTCTTTCTCTCTCACTACCCCCACCTTCCCCAGACACTCATACTCCCAGAAGGGACTGCAAACAGGGCCAGAATTTGTCCTTTAGTGATTCAGAAAAATTCTGAGAAGTTCAAGAGAAAAAAAAGTAAGTAACAGACAGGGCATCATGAAATCTACAGAAATGAAGACAATTAAAAGTAGGAAGGGACAACTTGAGCTCACTAAGAGAGAGTCTGAGCCCCAAGATGTAATATAAGTTATACCTTAAGTATAGTTATAAGTTATACCTCATAAGTATAAGAAAGCACAGCCCAAGCCATCCCCTTTGCTATTTTCACAATCAAATTAAGGATCCTAACAATCCCATCATGGAAAAGTTTATCCTCTGCAAACATTTAGCTAGGTAAGATCATAGTCCCAACAGCTGCCCATATTTCTGTAAAGGGAACATCACTCTGTCTTTGCTGCACGGCAGACTTATCAGTAGCAGATACCTCAAAGAGATAACAGGCATATTATCAGCAGTGAGCGCGAGACTCTTTCTTGTGAAAGCCTTTTTTTTTTCCAGCAAGCTCTCCAGACATCTCACTTGAGGTGTGAAAGGCCTGGAAACTGCTACGGCCACTTCCGCTGTTTCCATTTCTGCTATCCACAGAGAAGTGATTAAAATGCTGCAGTGTGCTCTGCATCTTACTAAGAAAAAATCTCAGTGCTCTCACATGGCAATATTATTCTGCACTGAAAAATACTGTTGCAGTGCCAGAGCCAAAATATTTTATTGTACTCACTGATCCTACACATAATCCTGTATCTAAGTACAGGATGCAAAAGTGAGATGATTTTTGCATGGTAACAGTTGGGTATTAAACATTTCCAATACTCATACAGTGAGCTCACAGGGCATTCTCCAGCACAGAAAGCATCATGGAGTCTGACAAATGCTTTAGGTCTTTGGCTCACTTCATGGAGTGAATAAGCCTCTTCTACTTTCCATCCCCACTGCATTCAGCAAAACAAGATTCATACCAGCACAGATCTCCCTTTGTGAATAGGTTTAACATAATGTGTTACTGAGTGAGCAGAGGGCCACACAATATGGCCAAGTGTCCTGACTTCACTCTGCCATGAGGATGTTACCCTTCAGCAGATGAGTGTAGTGCGCAGACAGGAGCAAGGACACTGTAAGCTGTCACAGTAAGATTCATCAAATCTCATGTATATTTTTATTGTATTTTTTTTCACCTCTCACTTCTTACTCTGAAATTAACAAGCATCCACATGGAAAGCACATGACCCACTCTTCATGGAACTGAACTGCAGAAATACTAAAGGTGTACGAAAGACAAGGTATTTGCATACTTTTGCATGTACTATGAAATATATCCTGTGCTCTTGCAGCCTCATTCTCCCAAAAAAGGGCATAGGAATGATCATGGATACAATGAAGGACACACTGTTTCCATCTCCACTACCTGCATTGCTTACCTTCATTAACTGCATGAGGCTTAATAATGCAACAAGTACAGTTCGTGAATTTTGCACTGTTGACTGGTCCGCGACCTCCACTGGAGGGAAAGAACAACTCCAGCTCCTGAAAACAATTGTAATTGAATACATTTTAGTTTGATCTAGCTGCATACATCAGCTTTCACCAAAAGTAACAACATCTGAAGTATCCATAGTCACAGAACGCAAAAGTTAATTATAGATTTTTGTGCTACAAATACTTTTCCCCTATAATATTCTCCCAAGTATATCTTTCCTTCTGTGGCACCATTCCTACAATCATAAAACCATTATTTGAATATTTCTTGCAATGTCCGTCTTTTCAATTCCACAATGCAATCCATTACTGTTCAGAGCATTCAAAATGCTGCTGCCACAATCATTTGGTAAAGGTGTTCCCAGCTTCCTGATTTCTCTCTCTTTCCTCAGTATCTTTCCCAAATCCACTCCCATATGTATATAATATATATCTTCCCTCTTATCACATAATCTTTTCCACTATATGAGCAAAAACGCAAATACCATCCATTTCTCAGTATGTTTTCTTTCCAGGTACAAAACTGACCTCCACCCCATTTATTTACAACTTTTTTTTTCCTTTTTTGTCATAAACAGCTAAACTTTGTCTAATATTGTTGACTCACTCCTCATGCCTTATTGACCCTATTTTTTCTTTTTTTAATCTTAGTGAATTGAAGCTGATGGACTCAATTGCTCTTATTTCTGGGATGAATCAAAAGAACCTCTTCGCCTCCAGCCACATCCTTTCTTCCCACCATCACTCTTCAGATATCATATAGCTTGGGTCTTAGACTATACATACTGGCACGAGCTTGACAGACAAGCTTCTTTCCTCAGGGATATTTTCTCTCTGTTGATTGCCAGCTTCACACTTTTTCCATACCAACTATTCACATACATGACACAACCTGCCAATAAACATTAGTCAAATGCTTGAAACACAGATTCCATTTCAGACCTATTGGTCAAATTCAGTAAGAGAATGGATGAATTTCTATTTAATAGAAATAATAATATCCTGGAGATACTACTACTGAATCCATCTGACTTTTTCCTGTATAACAGTAGCAGTGCCATTTCCTGGAATTGTGTCATTTAATTTACTAGCTCAATACAGATGGAATAGACTTTGCTATCTTCCAGTCTTTAGCTCATAGCACTCTGATGATTCCTGTGATCCTTACTTAAACAATTATACAAATCAAACTAATGGATCTTTCAATAGAAGGGAAAAGGTTTTTTTTTGTTTTTCTCCTAGCAAATGATCCACATTTTAAGTGGACGTATCTGAGACAAAAGGGTTCATTACCTACATCCTTCTACTGTTAAAATGCTGCATGTTCCGAAGTCCTTGTCCCACTCTGTTAACTAATGTTTACTCTAAAAGAAGCCAGGAAAATGCAGCAAAATATTTACAATGTTTAACAATTTGTCTTATCCATTAAAAATCATAAAAGGGAACTAAATAATGCTGAAGGACTAAGATAATGAAATGCCAAACTAAAACCAAGTGAAGCCTTAAAAAAAAAAATTATTTTCCTTTCCCTTTATTCCTGATGTAAACAAATTCCAAAATTTGGCCTGCAGAGAGACACCAGCTTAAAGTATACCAGAGACATGCTTTCACTTGTCATTTAGCCTCCAAAGGAACAATTCAGTCTTCTACTATAAGTGTTCAGTACATTCATTAGATGTGGCTGGGACTCTGGTTTTCCTTCAGAAGAGCTCATTTAGGTCCCTTTATCTTATTGTAGTCGACCGGCAGAGTTCTTAGTAATCAGCGCGAGGGGCTCTTTGCAGTCAGCGCGCGAAGTTCTTGGACACCACCCAGACGAGCCAATTATGATGAAAGTGTAAGCCATTTATTGTGTGTTGCGCACATGCTTTTATACAGAGCTCTTTCAGATTTGGCAGCTACTGATTGGATACAATAATTCAAAATTCTTAATAACAAAATCACTACTGGCTACTTTCAATCCTGGGAACGTAACCTTCGAAGCTATGTCAACACAACCTCTAAAATAACTTAGTTGTGCTAATAAATTTCTCTCAGTTTCTCCTTATCTTTCTCACGTCCTGTATAATTGCATGCCTCTGCACATCTGGTTGCTTTTCTTCTTTCTCAGGATCCTTATAATTACGAAGCCTAAAGTTAGTATCATAGTTAAAACTCTACTTCAGCACAAAGCGCCCCTACACTTATATTTATTTCTTTTCAGCAAAGCTTCTGCAAGGTGCAGCCAACTAGTTTCCATGGCAACTGCTATACAGCCATATAATACTGGGCCTACTAAATTAGAATAGGCACAGGAGTATTAAATTCACAATTTTGATTGATTTGTTGAAGACTGGTATCAGTAACACCATAAAAGATGCAGATACCTGCAAAAAATCAGTAAAATAATCCCAGAGTCATCAAAATACTACAGATGAATGGGGCCTTCAAACAGCATTTCAAAAATAATGAAATGTAAGAACAACAAACTTAAGCCAAAGCACATACATATGCACCTAATCAAAATTTTATGCTAATAGATACTCTTTCCTACACCCTTAGTTCAAAAGCTGGAACAGTTGTCATGGCAGTACACAGGAACAAAGAGAAGCTTTCACCCTTGTATATGAAGACGTAGCTATTTAACCAGAACTACAAAGACTTTTCTGACTAAAGTTCTCCTTTATCAGAAACGATCAATTTAATCCAAGCTCCTTCTGACTATGTACCATCTTCATCAAGTCTGCCAGCAGAAAATGTTCTTCAGGTCCAGCATATAATTTCTTGTCAAAACCACAGGCACACGTAGAGGATCCAGTAGCCCAGGCATGGTGCAGATAAGAAAGATGAATGCTTGCCCAGCAGAAAACCACCGCTTTGCAGTTAGCTTGCTAAGCTATACAGCCTAACAGCCAGCCAGAAGAAGAGGCCGACCAACTCTGCCCTCACCACCAGGATATAATCTCTACACGTATTTTCTAGCATACAGTACTTGTCAGCTTATTAGGTATTTTGGGGCAGGTCTCTCTCCAGCTGTGCTACTGCAGCTGTTCCAATTCAAATAGAGGAAAGACTAGGATCAAGGAAGCAACAGCTGGTATCTTTTCCCCACTGGTCTAGAGCTAAGATATCACAGCACAACACCAATCGATCATGAGGTAAACTTTATTCTTGCCATCATTTATCAGCATGTCTACCCCACAACAATGTGCACAAATAGTCACCTCAGTAGAAACGCTAGTAATATCTGTCACTCAGTCTCAGGGCTTTTTCTTAGCACTAAGGAAAGACACACTGCAAACCAAGCAAAAAAGAACCGAGGTCCTCAAAGCCAGGCCCACAGTATTACCTCTCAAAACACAAAGCAATACAACATTGCCTGTCTTCATAATTATTCATTCTGAATAATGACAACAGTTGGCTGCAGACAGAGGATTAGTGAGGACTGTGGAGAAGAACAGATAAGTGAAACACAGGAGGGCACAAACTGATATAATTGTTTAATCCCTTTCTTTTTATGACCAACATTAGTAGTCTATAGGTAGATTATGCAGACTATGCAATTAGTGTTTATGATGTACAGAAGACATTAAAAATGACCAGGCACGCTCTCCTGATCAAACTGCCCAAGGTTCCCCTTCTGTGACAGAGATAAACAAGATTTCTGTTTTCAAACAGTTTATGTTTCCATGCTAAAAAGGACCCATGAAGAATATCTAAACTAGTTCTGAACTCAAGTGGGTAAAAAAATGAGGAATTCCTGACTCAACTGTTACCAGATAAAGTAAAAACAAACCTCAGGCAACAAACAGTCAAAAACTTACTTGTGCAGCTGAAGCAACTGAATCTGGGCCATGAGCTGCATTTCTTAGGCCATCGTGTCCGAAGTTCGCTCTAATGCTGTCTGGTGCATCAGTCTGAGCCACTGCAGAGTTTGCTGGCCCCAGTAATGTTTTCCATTTACAAACTGCATCATCTCCTAAGATTTCCATAGCAACAATGGGACCACTTGTTATAAACTGGAGAAGCTCACTGCAAAATGGGAAGAGCACATGATGATCCATGCTACAAATTAAAAACAACAAAAAACATATGATCCAGTGGAGATGCCCAGAACTGAACTCTGAAAGGCCTTGAGCAACCTGATATAACTTTGAAGTTGTCTCTGATTTAAGGAGGCAGTTGGACTAGGTCATGTGCACACATTCCCTTATTATGGCTGTAGAAAAAGAACCAGACAATACAAACTCACTAAATCTACTGTGCAGTATATTAGATTTCAAAATAATTTTTAAAAGATCAGTACTGGCAACAGTGAAAGACAACCTGTCAACCATTTGTCTGACAGGAACAATTCCTAAGCATATCTCTTCTGCACAGCAGGATTTCAGGATCCTCACACATGTCCTGTGTGTACTCCCCACTGACACAACTTCAGCACTGCTGTCAGGATGGGTTGCTCCACTGCCCCATGGATCTCTCCCATGGATTTTGCCCAGACAAAATCCAAAGTGGGAGAGAAGGGAAAAGCAAGATTTGGAAAGTTTGTGGGGGAGAGGGGACTTAATCCCAAAGTAAGTTATCACATCCTGGCACAAGCAGAAGTCAACTATTTTAATGAGACGGATCTGAGTAAGGAGAAGAGATTGTCAGGAGCAGCCTGCCCCCTGTCCTGACCACCTCCAGTTACACAGAAAACAACCACTCAAAATTGGAAAAACGAATGTTCTACTTAAAAACAAAATAAAACACCATAACTATAATTCTATATCTTTATAAAACATGTATACCAACAAGCCTGATTTTTCACTGTGTAGTCTGAACAGAACCAACAAAGGGAAAAGTTGACTCAATGCTTTTTGTATTACTTTCTTAAAAAAAGAGCTTTACAGAATTATAACTGTGGATGTGTGTGCTTCTCCAACCACCTTCTTCCTAATGACCATTTATGCAATGAGCAGTAGGCAAGAAGAGAACTCCTACAAGTTCTTTGCTAAAGGATCGATATTAAAACTATGAAAAGTTACATTAACATAGAGAAACTAGACAGGGAAAAGCTATTAGGACTCAGGTTCTGTTGGTCAGAGAATGCTTGTTTAGGACACAGTTAAATGGCTTGGACATACATACACCCAAGAAAAATGCAATTTCTACAATACTGCTTACTATGCAGACTAATCCTTAATATTAAATAATTTTTTTAAAAAATTAATTATTTAATATGAAAAATATTCTTTTCCAAACAAGTAGAATTGCTATTTTTCCCTACTATTCACTAGACTTACATTGACTAGAGAACTTCCAAATTAAATCTGAATTTAAATACAAGTAATACAATGCTAAATATAAATGAGTCAGAGATTTTACATTTCACTGTCTTGAAGGTTCTTGTTTTCTTAGATTTGTAATGCTTTATAACTATTTGTTTCTAATTTAGAGAAAAATCCTATACAGAAAATGTAGCCAATAGGACTGTAGGATGGGAGACAGGCACTTCAGAGTGGACAAAAGCTATAGTTCCTCGGTTGATTACTATTAGTGTAGATAGACATCTGTGAAATAACACTACAGGCAAAATTATTGCTTATTGATCAACATATTCAAGTAGGCTTACTGAGCAAAGAAAAAGCAATTCTAAACCTTCCTCTGACCTCCAACTGGCCAGAATAGCCTGGGGCCATGTCTCTGTGAAGGGATTGAGTTTGGACCCACAATACACTAGTTGCTGTTGCAGGAGAGCAGCTGGCAGATCCTAATACTCAAGCACTTCATGACAGTACCAAAAACAGGTCTTTTGACCAAGTAAGTGCAAACCCAGGTTTCAACATGGCTGAAAAACACAAGGTAGAGCTTCACCTTCTTCCTAAAAGAGGTAGACTGCCAAATAATCCAGAGGGAGGAAAAGAAAGTTGTTTGTTTGGACTTTCAGGTAAAGTAGAAACGACACAATCTCTGGGTCACAAGCATCAATCCAGTCAATTATGGAAAGACTAAGGTTTTTCATGTCAGGTGGAGCAGTCTAGCATCATGGAAGTTTGGTGTTTTGTCCAAGAGTAGCAGTAAAGTAAACAACTACCCCATGCACTATCCTTTCAGTTACTTATGATTTGGGATACTTGCTACCAAATGAATTCTCACAGCTATGTGTTCCCCCCTAATTCTCATTACCTGCAAGCTCCACCCTGATCCTGAAGATGCTCCTTCCCTTGGCTTTGAAGTTTCAGATTGCTAGGAGCATTTTCACTTCTGAGAGACCAAAGACATTCCCCTGATATCATCAAGCTGTAAAGACTGTGAGTTGAAGCCTTGGATAACCAAAATAAGGGTCTGTCCCTGAAGGAAGGTGAACAGGGTGCATACTTTGCAAAGGGCTCCACTCAACTAAGACAAGTTCTGATTTTCCCATGGTCCTGCAGTACCAAATATGGTAAATGAATCCTGTGCATTCAATAAATAAGCTTAGTGCATGTCAAGCTGAAACTGATATACCTACTTGTAAAAAGGTTTTGATTGATGGTCTACGTAGAAATCAGCTGCTTCTTTTCTGGAAGAATAAAAAGATACAGACATAGCTATATAGAGATCGATATACACACATACACATATAAAACCTCCTGAAAACCACCAACTATCATTCATCAACATGTTTCTAAAGGTAATGTCTTCCCAAGCTGGACATGACCAATAGCAGAAACTACATTTAACTTCCTGTCATATTAATGTGGCTACAGGTGTAGCTTGCAGCTGACGACTCCTTATGCTCCTGCTCTGGGAGGGAGGTAATCACTGAAGCCTGTAGCATGGATTTTCAGGGTCGCTGATGGTCCCCCACATTCTCAGGTTGAGAAATAAATGCAGCAGAGTCACTTTCTTGCCTAGCCATTTACTGTTATGTTGTTTTCATCTTTCATCTCAGTTTGCGTGTGTATGTTGGTTAATGAAGATTGGCTTTAAAGCATAAATAAGCAATCTATTTGCTTCACTGGAACTTATTTCCTTATCAAGGCTAGTGTTTAATTACACTGGTGCACAACAGAATGTGGTATAACATGGTTTCTATTTAGTACCCTCAAATGTTACAAGTCATAGAGGCAGCACAGTGCCCTCCAGACTAAAACTTGCTTTCTCCCTCACTTTCCCACTCGAAAACCCAATTTGGTCTTGCACTTCCCTTTGAGGAACACAGCAGTTACCACACGCCGCTCTCCCGCAAAGCAAGGGAGTTTCTGTAACAAGGAGTGCGCACTACATTGCCAGGCAAATAAAGGCCACTAGGCATACACAGTATGTCTGTACCACAGCTGCTACTTAGCCTTTACTCAGAAACTGCAAGAAAAAATATACCTTTTTCAGACAGGGTGGTGGCCCTCTCCAAGCTCTACGTTGCCACAGCCACACTGCTAGCAGCACTCAGCTCAGCTACCCAAATACACAAGTTTCAGGGACCATGGTGCAGACCCACCACCATCAATCCACCAGTGGGCACACCATTCTGTGGCTTTTCACCCCACTACCCCCAGCAGCTAGCCAACCTACTCTCTTCCTTGCTTTTTTCTCCAGCTGCTTCTCATGTTTAACTCTTGGTTACTGAACTGCTTTTTCTGCATGGCAATAGCTAGAAAAATCCATGGGGGTTTTCAAGTCTAGCCCTGTTATTTTGCAGCTTCAAAAATCCATTTCAGAAGCACAAGCTTGGTCTTGGCTTGCTCCAAATCCTGGGATGTACCACTTGCTGAAGCTGGAATTTCTGGAGGACAAGCTCTTCAGAAGGACTGACAGGTGAAAGCAAGCAATATCGCTCAGCCCTAGTCTGAGTACAAAGTTCAAAATCAAAGCAGAGCTGCAGGGAGACTAAAAGATTTCCACCTGGAAAATTGTTTTTACATGCAGAAGCAGCCTTCTGATTTTTTCGGGTCTCCATGATTTTGCTCACTTTGAGCAGCCCTGTTTACTGAAAGGCATTATTTGTGTGTTTTTCAAATCAAATAACCGGTTCCAAGTCTGAACAAAGGCATGGTTCTGTCATCTGCAATGCAACTTTTCACATCTATCTCCCATTTGCAGCCCAGACTTAAGCCCAATATTGCCAGAGGAAAGAAATAACCTCAAGAAGAACCTAAGAAGAATTTAATTTTCTTAACCTTGACAAATATTTGAACAGTCACAGCTTTCTCCAGCTTTTTTATCAAAATGACCACCTGCAAATTGGAACGGGTTTGTTGTTTTCAGTTCAGTGTATGAGCCATTCAAAATTCAAAAGATTTTAATTGTCCATACAGCTAATATGCTTTCCTTCTATTTCATAACTAAGGCAGAAATATGATATGCTATGCACAGGAACTCTTGCAATCTCAAGCTTCAAACATACACTCTGCAAATAGCCCAAAGTTTTTGCTTCATTACTTCACCAGAGAATTCTCTTTTGAAACTAATTCACCAAATAATTTTGGAAAGGAAATATGAAAAAGGTATGCAAATGGATTAAGTATTATAATTTCTGAATGTAAAGAAATATTTGAGGCATATACTTCTGAAACAAATTGAGCTCTACTACTCAGTTAAGACTGCAATAAATATAAAACTGTAGTTGTGCTGTATAAACTTAGTTACTTTTTTACTTAATCTCTCTCATTAGTTCTTTGCTTTTAAAAAAATGGAAAATAGTGTTCATCTGCAAATAGTAGACTGAACTGACATATGATTAAATGAAGAGACTAGGGAGCTGCTGTGTCAAAGCAGGTGCCTGCCCTCACTTTCACATCTTGGCTAAAATTTTTACAGAAGGCATGAACCTACTTAACAGTGATTGCCAGACAAATGTCAGTAATATTCCTTTAAAGAAAGCAGTAGATTATGATGCAAAGCCTTTAACACTGTCCCACATGACATCCTTGTCTCAAAGTTGGAGGGACATGGATTTGACAGAAGGACCACTTGCTGGATAAGGAGCAACCACCTGAGTTGTGGTCAAGGGCTCAATGTCCAAGTGGAGACTGGTGTAAAGTGGTGTTCCGCAGGGGTCAGTACTGGAACTGCTGTTGTTTCACATCTTTGTAGAAGACATGGACAGTGGGATCAAGTGAACCCTCACCAAGTTTGCTGATGACACCAA